GTTTTTTTTTCCCCCCCCCCCCCCCCCCCGTTTCGTTCTGGTCAAATTAAAAAAATAATAATAACAAAGAAAAATAAATAAATAAGTCTAAAAAGAGAGAATTATGTAAAGAAAGAGAATTTGTTTTGGAGACGTTTTTGCTATAGGGCGCTTGTGCTCGCCAGAAAGACAGAGACAGAGAGAGAGAAAGCGAGAGACCGCACCTACCCCCCCACCCCCCGTGGGAATGGCCATGCCACAATCCCTTCTCCTCCCTTCTCAATCCCTTCTCCTCCATTCTCCTCTCGGGATCTTGGGCATGCACGCACACGCGCCTGGCATGACTTTAAGCCACCAGGTCCAGGACTCGAACTGCGTTCGACTACATGGGAGTTCAGTAACATAGCCATTACGCTAACTGCTGGTCCCATGAAAGAGAATTTTGAATGCTCTAAATGTAGAATAATGACAAATGGTTGATATGATGAATATATTAATTGCCCTGATTTTATGAATACACATTATATTCCAGTACTGAAAAATCACATTGTACTCTACATATTTCTGCATTTATTATATGTCAAAGAAACTAACTGAGGTACAAGTAAGCATGATTAAAATTGTAAATAAATTAACTGTAAGACCAAAAGGAGGGCATCTAAATGATGCTCTTCCAGAGTTGGATATGTAATGCATAGTCTCAATAAACAGTCTAATGTTTCTTATCTATATATTAAATCCTATAAAACATAATTCTATTGTAAAAATAATGCATTATATTATAAAGTCATATAACACTAGCTGAGTGCCAATCGAACATAGATTACCAGAAATACCCAAATTGCCCATCTGGCTTCCTAGAATCTTCATCATGACCCTCTATTCTCTTTCTTGTCTTGTCTTTTCCCTTTCTTGATCTTCTTTCCATTTTCTTTTTTCTTTTCTCTTATTTTCTTTAAGAATTATTGATTTAATTTTATTTATTATTGTCATTATTTAACTTGTTATAGGGAATGTGTGCACATCAAAGACGTACACACACACACACACAGAGAGAGAGAGAGAGAGAGAGAGAGAGAATGAGAAAACAAGCCTCCAGGTCTGGGACTTGAATCATGGTTGGTCACATGGGAATTCAGTGCCTTAACTACTACATTACCTGCTGGCTCCCCTTTCCTCTTCTTTTCATTGCTCCCATAATGTCAGAAGTCTGACAGACATTTATGGACTGCTTTTCCAGCATCTCATTTCTTTGCACGCCAACTTACCACAACACAATGTATAAAAAGGTACCCAGAGAGAGAAGTGGCATAGCAAATTGCAGTTAAGAGCATGAACCATGGAACCACTTCAAGTATCGTGTCCTTGGATAACTAACTTAACCTGCATGTGCTTCACTTTCCTATATAGAGTTGTTAGGAGAATTAAATGGATTTAAATGAATAATAACTAATTTCTAAAGCACTTAGAACAATTTCAGGCATATAAGAAGCCTTATGTAAGAAACCATTAAATCAATATTTAAGTCCTTCAAGATTTTGCATAAACATTACCACCTCCATGAAACCTTTCCTTACTCACCTCTTACAAAGTCTGATTAAGTGCTCTTTCTCTTTGTCTCTCTTTTCCCTGTGTTCTGGGTAAGCACTTACCAATTGGTAAATGCAAGCTTAAGGCAAGACTTTTTGTCTTTTTGTCCTCTGCCAAACCTCCAGTGCCCAAAACAATGTGAATTCTTTAATACTTCATCTTTTCATCGCCTAGGGTTCTTACTCTTTTTATATATCCATCTATCATAGTATGGGTTTTTAGTAATAATAACAATATAGTAACCACTATATATCTGTCACAGATTGTGTTAGTCCCCTTTGTCCTGCTATTACAGAATATACGAGACTGGGTGATTTATAAAGGACTGAAATGTATTCCCCACAGTTTTAGAAGCTGGGAAGTGTTAGAGATTCTAGCCCCTGGTGAGGAGGGCCTTCTTGCTGTCTTCAGTGTTGGAAGGTAGAAGATCAAAAAGTAATGGGGGCCAGCAGATGGCATAGTGGTTACATCACTGGACTCTCACATGGCTGGCCACAGTTTAAGTCTTAGACCCAACAACTTGAAACTCATGCTTTCATGTGTGCATATGTGTTCAAAATCCCAGGAAGAGAATGTAGGAGATTTTGATGTGGTCGCCTTCCCACCAAGGGTGATTTCTCACTCACTTTCCTCTCTCTGTCTCACTCTCTCTCCAATGATTGCATATGCCATAAGGCATAAACCTCTAAAAAAAAAAAAAAAGAAAAAGAAAGAAAGAAAGGAAAAAAACCTCAATGAATTCCATTAATCAAATCCCTTTATAAGGGCACTTAATCCCATTCACAAGGGAGTAGTTCTCATGACTTAATTACTTATTAAAGTCTCCACCTCCCTTTCTGTCTCTTTTTCAGAATTATTTATTTAATCTTATTTATCATCATGATTATTACTATTTTAATTTGCTACAGAGCATGCACACTCACCAGAGAGAAACAGAGAGTTAGAGAGAGGGAAAGTGAGGAAACAAACCACCAGGTCCAGGACTTAATGCCTGTTGGTGTGTGGGAGTCCAGCACCTTAACCACCACTCCACCTATTGTTCCCATCCCCACTTCTTAATACTATCATGTTAGCAGCATCTAAATTTTGGTGGGAACATGCTGGAACCATAGCAAAAATGGAGTACTGACCATGCGACAAAATGTATGTTAATTGCTTTGCATACAGAATTTCATTGTTACCTCCAAAGAAGGAAGGACCATTATAACAGAAGAAGCTAAGGCCAAGCGTGACTAGTCACGCTGTGTGACACAGGTCACACAGCTGGTAAATAATCATGATTAGACGTTTTGACCGCAGAGCCTTTTCTCTTTAGTAAGTTGACACACTGTCACTGAATGCCACATGTGCCATGTTAATGATGGTGAAGTTTGTCTCAAGAGCATTCAGGGTTTATATGAATGAAATACGTAGTTATGTACATGGAGATATACATAAGCAGGGAATTTCTTTCAGGTGCATCCGTGATTAAAATGAAATGATATAAGAAATAAGACGGGGAATTCCAGAAACTATTTTATTCCTTTTATATAGATTATTTCACACAATTGTCACACTAGCCTATTTATGTAGGTTTTATTACTCCCTTCTAGTGATAAGTAAACCAATTTCAAGGAGCTTAAGTAACTTGATCAATGTTGAGTGCTAAGGTCAGAAAAATCATGATATGATTTCATACTAAACAAGTTTCTTGTTACACGTGCCATAGATATTTTTAAAAGAACTGAAGCAAAAAGAACATAATTTCAGTGATGGCATTTTAGAAAATAAGACATCTGGGTAAGGTAAATATTTGCAGCAATGAGGCCTTCCTAATGTAAAACACATCAATTTTTTCAGCAAATAAGTGAGCTCCAGAGAATATAATGGGTACAGTAAGTAAAGTTGGATGATGACCATGTTATATCTTTTTTCCCTTTACATACTTTTTCAGAATGATTCTAGTGGTTTGTATTTTAATTCTTATACCTTTCAGATGTTTAGATTTAAGACAGATGATTCCTGAATCAGTTAATATTGTAGAAATTTTCCAGAAACACGTCATTGAGTTTTACTCCTTAATTTTGTGTTTCCCAAACTTGCATGAATTCTTGTGTTTCCCAAACTTGCATGACTTCAGATACCTATTTGTTTAGAATTAATCACAATGTACGTTTTAAATTACATTAATATTTTTTGAGTTTAACTTATTGTTTTGTAGAGCATGATCTGTACCTAAATGATGGCAATTTAGACTGCAAAACACAAAGTCTTTGGCCTTATAACTGTATAATTGCTAAAAATTCTGCAAGACATTTATTAAAACATCATTGGAAATTTCATTATTAATCCAACACCTTTCAAATCCCTAAAGTTTTGCTTGTCCCAGGACTATTTTGTAATAGGTTAGCCCTTACTACCTTTCAGGTTTATCACCTAGTTTATGTGAATTACTGGAAGTTTATATGTCTCAGGATATAATTCATTTTACTTCTGGCTTGTTTTGTCTAAGTCCACATAAGATCGCTTTCTTTTGGAAACTAAACCCTTTCTAAACTGTTTACTGAGCAAAATGCACAACTACAAAGATACCTAGCTGGACCATAACAAAATAGAGTTCTAGACTTTCAGTTCTTATCTTTTATCACACTATATTATGTTGATTGAACTTTAAAATCTGTACACTTTTAAGTGTTAGCACCCTTAGCCACAAAGTTAGGAATTCCATAACTTTGTGGAACCTGTCATCGTGATTCTACTGAGATCTGTTGTCTTGTGGTAAATCATGCCTCTGCCCTTGGTTCCTTCAGCTTCTGGTCAGAAAAGCATAATATAAGTCTAACTCATAAATAAAAGGCATGATCAATGCGCCAGAAATCCCCTTAGGTTAAGTTAAACAGTGATTATTGGCAGAAAGTCAGACATTCACATATTTTGCTGATGACCTATAGGCCATGCTCAAAGCCACTCCATAATGTTGGTCCCTAGTAATGACTTCTATGTAAATCCATGTGTAAATTGTGTAGGGTCAAACCTATTGTAATGAAATTCTAATTCTAGAGAAAGAGTCTTCTAAAGTGTAAGAGGACCACCTTAATTTATGTGTCAAGGACACATTCTTTGTCTCCTTTGTCCAGCTATAAAGATGCGATATGTTGTTTACAAGTTCTCTGAAAAACATGGACACTCTCATTGAAATCAATTACTACTCATTAATAATAGAATTAACAGCATAAAGTGACCATCTCAATGTAGGAAGAAGAAGGGATATGATTCAAAAACTTTTTTTGATTTGGCATCCATCTTCAATTTGCTGAGAGAGGAAAAACATTTGGAGGTGCAATTAAGGTGCAAATGCACAAACATTACAGTGTAAATGATGGGGTCCATTTTTGATATATGTACTGTGAAGAGTTTGTTGTTTAACATTAAAAACTGTATATTCAATAGGTAGACAATATAGATCTGAAAATGAGAGGAAAGATCTGAAATATGAAATCAGCATAGACATGCAGTTGAGGCTATATAACACCAGTGTGCCAAGTGAGGATGAAAGAACCTACAGAAGTACGTATTTCAAGCAACATATATAAGAAGATGAATCCACAAAAGAGACTGAGAATAAGCAGTCAGAGAATCAGGAGAAACTCTAAGAGAGTGTGATGTCACATACATCAAATGAAGGCATTATATCCAGAAGGAGAGAATAACTCTGAAGTCTGCAGCTGAGAAGTCAAGAAAGATAAAGACTAGCTAATATCCATTGACTTTAGCACCATAGAATTCTTCAGCGTCACTGATGAATCTCAACAGAGTGGTGGAGACAGAAGCTGCAATAAGGTAAGTTGAAAAGTGAATAGAAAGTTAGTAGGAAGTGAAGAGTTATAGACAGTGAATATAGAGAGTTAATTTAAAAGCCTGGCTGTGAAATGGACTGGGAAGGATAACTTGTAACTGGACTGGTGTACAAAAAGAACCTAGAAAGGTTTTTGTTCTGTTTTGTTGAGAGTCTTATGCAAGGACGTTTCTTGATAGGAAGGCCGCAGAGAGAGAGAGAGAATCTGAATAATCATGACAGTGAATGTGGAATAAAGAAAGGGAATATGATTTCCTTTTTTTTTTTTTTTTGGAGACATTTTTGCTATAGAGCATGTGTGCTCGCCAGACAGACAGAGAGAGACATAGAAAGTGAGAAATCACCCCCCAGGGGGGATGGCCATGCCCCAATCCCTTCTCCTCCATTCTCTTCTGGGGATCTTGGGCATGCACGCACACGTGCCTGGAGTGAGTTCAAGCTACCGGGTCCGGGTCTCGAACCGTGGTCAACTACGTGGGAGTCCAGCAACATAGCCATTATGCTAACTGCTGGCCCCAGGGAATATGATTTCAAAATTTATTATTAATAGGTACTCAAGAGTTTTTTGTATATTTTTGCTTAGCTATTTAGCTTTATTCATTTACTTATTCACAAAATTTTTTGAAATTTACTTTGTTACAGACTCTGGGCAAAGAACTAACAATCTGTTGAGGTGTGAGTAAGAGGGAAGATAAGTAAAGCAACAATTTCTATAGAGTGCCTTAAGTACTGAAACGAGTAGGGGTAAGCTGGGTCTATGGGAATGGTAAGAAGCCCTCAATGTTGAACTTGCTCATGTTGTACTTAGATTTTTTTTTTAATAACTTAGTTTATTTATGCTGACACTACACAGGTCTGAATTCTATCACAGAGACCCTAGCATTGCTTCAAAAAGGCTGAGGAATACTCTTCATTTGTATTCTGGAAGAGCAAACTGTTGTACACAAAACAATTTCTCTACCATCCTATTTTAGTTTAGGTTTCTTGTGGGAGGTGATTCTGGATGCAGGAGTAAGGGAGTAAAGAGAAGACAGGGAAGGAGGGAAAAATAAGTGGGAAACATATGAAACTGGGATAATCACTGTGGGCAATAGGGGCTTAGTTGGGTTGAGACCTGAAAAGTGTACAGAATGTCTGCCATTACTGTCCCCTGATGGACAGAAGCAGGATAGGGTATCCATTGACTTTTGTCTCTCATTGGTTAAAGATTACTCTTGGGAATAATAAATTCACATCTCTGGTATATAGAAATAATACTTTTATTCTCATGCTATTGAGAAGGCTCTGGGAAGAAAGCAAAAAAGATGTGATAAGGTCTTGAGATGAGATGCTGTCAGGACAAGGTGAGTCTGATCTCACACACAGTTGTCCACTAAAGCTGCAGGTGAAATTAAATGTGGGCTGAAGAGTGTGGAATGGAGAATCAGGTGTAAAATAGAAAACTAAGTATTTCCTCAAGCAATGTAATAATTTTAGATGATTCACTCAGATGACTTGGATTCAAGTTTCTTCTGAATTTATAGAAATCTCCATTCTCAGGTTTATTTAGTTATCACAGTTCTCTATTTCTTTCTACTTCTTTAGACATGGTTGAAATGCTCACTTCTCATTCTTTTCTTTCCTTAACTAACAAATTGGATAGAGACGATAGGAGAAGAAAGGTCTGCAGGAATTTGCCCACATTTTTTCTCTCAAGGCACCCTATAGCTTTCCTTCCATAATTTCAAATTTGAAGTTGACAGGCATAATTAATCATACAATAAAGCAAAACATTCAAATCCATCAAACATAATGTATGGTTCTCTTTGTGGTTTTAATGAATGCATCCTTAGTGTACCTTTCAAAGTGTGCATTCAATGTGGTTCTGGGATAGAGCAGCTATGCTTTTTTTTTGTTTTCTCTTGTCATTGCTTCTGGTTAGTGCATTCTGGTTTGTTTATGGTTGATGCTTTCAAAGAAGCATGATTTATTGACTACAGTGAGCCTGCTGAATATTCACATCAGCCTTACTAGTATATATATGTTTGTGTGTGTGTGTGTGTGTATGTAATTTCCTATTTATAGTTCTATAAAATAAAAGTCACTCCTTCTCACTTTTGACTATGGGCTTTTTTAATTCCATTTTTTCTCATTTTATTTACATTTAATTACTGTACTTCTTTACAGCATACAAAATAAATCTTCCCTGATTGAATACATATTAGTTCATACTATTAGCACATTAGTTCACTCAAAGATATTACCATATATACCATCGTTAACACTATGGGATTTATATATATATATATATATATATATATGTATTATTGACATAGTTTTAAAACAACTGTCTTGAATTTACTTCTCAGTTGTTTAGCTCTTTTTATATACTCCTACAGTGTCTGTTCTTTATGGTCTATATTCCTATCATATTCTTGTCACAATCTATTATAGTAATTTTCTTATTTATTCTTTAATTACACTTGATGCTTTCTACCTTAATGGCACTTTGTATGGTCTCAGTGAATATTTATTGAATGGATAAATGATTAAAAGATTGATTTTTTGATTACCTCGATTGTGCTGGTTTTTTAAATTTGAAATACTATGCTGTTTTTTCTGATGTTGCCCATGAAAAAATAAATACTGGGTTTCAGAAAGGATTATGGGAGTATAAATATAGTGAATAAAGCATACAAATGATACTCAATGAGAAGGGATAAATAAAATACAACAGACTACATCTGAACAGAATCTTAGAAATACTCATTTGTAGATGAAATAAATGAGGATCATAAGAAAGGAATTTCCCAAAGTCATCAAACTACTCATGGCAGAACTAGATTTTCAATCCCAACCTATTCTGTCATGTGAAAGACAGTAACTAGGGGCCATCCGGTGGTATGTTGATTGAGACACTGGATTCCCACATGGGAATCCTGAACCCTGTAGCTTGATAATCATGCTGGGTGGATGTACGTGTGTGCCCAGAATCCTGAGAGGAGAATGAAGGAGGAGGAGTTACATGCATAGCCATCTTCCCGGGGTTGGTGTTGTGGAAGATTTCTCACTTCTCTCTCTGTCTCTCTCTGATGGGGGAATGCACCTTACATCAAAACAGACAAACAGAAAAACACAGTTGCTAAAAGGACTATGAATTTATTTTAAAGGTGAAGGAATATAGTCATGACTTTTCTGACGACTCAATAGAATAAGATGCATGGGGGCTCAACCATGCCCAAAGTGTCAAAGGTAATCCCTTTCTAATCAAAAATAATTTAATAGGATAAGGATATTGAATAGAATTAATGAACTAGGAAAAAGGAGGAGAAGACAACTAGACTAACCACTGTGTTTCTGAGATTCACAATTTAACTTTTCCTAAAATAAGAGTGAATCTTATAAAAGGACCTATATGGGTATTTGGCTAGACCAGTGACTTTTTGATTGTATTACATTGCCCTGATCCCTTCCACCTGGGAAATAGGTGATCTATTTACAAAGGGACGCAAACTAAGAAAACATCATACCCATCTGTGTTGAATTAAAGTCATTCTGTAGCACTGCTTATTATTTATATTTTATGAAATGACTCTTCTTATTAAATGTTTCTCCATTCTATAATTTCCACCTAGTTGAAATATATCATGAGTATTTAAATCTCAAAAATGAGCTAGATTCTAAATCTACACCTCATGTTTCTTAGCTGAGTCTTTTCTTCAAATTATATATACATTTTCTGTGTCTATATTCCGAATCATTTTTCACACTTTCACAGTCTGCAATAAGAACCGTACATTTGGTAGTTCTTGACCTATTTTTAAGTTTTGTCAATGTTTTTTAACTTTTGCCTTTGCCCAGGAGGAACAACCATTTCACATTGAATCATATTACAATTATTTTTTATAAACTGAATCTAAATTGGGCTGCAGTGCTATTTTTGTCTCTAATCAACTTAAGTGTATTTTTCAGCTAATTCTGCTTTTCTGAATCTTCTTTCTAGACACCTTTGTTTTTATTCTAAAAGCTTTGTCGACTAAAATTCTAGAATATAGCTAACACTATGGTGTCCTGTTCACTCATATTCCCAGCTATGTCATAGATAAAATTTTGGAAATATTTGCTCTCATGTTTCCAGTTCTTGGTGGCTTCAAACTATTATGCCAAAATGACTTCCACCTATTAGAGTATAATCATTTTTAAGTTATTTTATTTTCTTCTATTTAAATGACTAGAGATTCATAAGGGTGTAGAAAACATCAGATTCAATATCGTTTTTTCTTTTTTTTTAAATTTTTTTGAGAAGTTTTTTGCTATAGGGCGTGTGTGCTCGCCAGACAGACAGAGAGAGACAGAGAGACAGAAAGCGAGAAAACACCCCTCAGGGAGGGTGGCCACACTGCAATCCCTTCTCCTCCATTCTCCTCTTGGGATCTTGGGCGTGCACACACACGCACACGCGCCTGGCATGAGTTTAAGCCACTGGATCTGGGACTTGAAGCGCGGTCGACTACATGGGAGTCCAGTGACATAGCCATTACACTAACTACTGGTCCCAGATTCAATATCCTTCTATCATGACCAAGAAAACTGATGCCCAGAGAGGCTCAGTGACTGTTTTCTAAGGTCACACAGCTTGATAGTAAATTAAATTAGAGCCTCAGTTAGATTAGAGCTCATGACTCTTACCATCTGAGGCAGGCACTTTTTTTCACTCTGCCATAGTGTATTTATAAGATTAATGTCTAATTAATGTGTCTTTCTTAAATTTCATGTTTTTTTTGTAATATTCTGATTATTTTAACCTTTAATTTCAGGTTTTGTGGAAATATTGATAATGCAATCTACTCTTAGCCTTAGCATCCAAAATAATCTTCGCTATTAATGAAAGATGTATTAATTTCCATGTATGGCATGCAGCACATTAACTGAGCATTTTCACTTGAATTAATGGCATCACTTAAAAAAAAGTCAAATCAAATACTGTAACTGATCTTCATAATAA